CAAATGAGACTCATATCCATATTTCTTTACAGCATCTTTTCCATTCTAGCAATTAAATTCAAGTATCGTTACAAATATTTAAAGCCTAATTGAGAGAAGAAATACTAATCAAATTATAGCCAAAAACTTTTCTTTCGTTTATAGCCTAATTTCTTACATTCATTTCAATCTAATTGATGTAATATAATTGTGGTTTTTTGAATAAGTTTCATTTCTCGGCATTTCCGGCACTATTTTAATTAATCCTTCCCATGATTATATCATGCTATAATTGGATATGAAATGGAAAAAAAGTGCTGCCTTTGGATCACCTGAGGTTAAAAAAGGTTGAGCTCTAAACTTCTGAACTGAATGTCCCAAGCTCTAACTCTGTCTTCCCCCTATAATTTTTTACTTAATTATCGCTATTGGGTTGCAATAGTTCAAAAAATTCCTATAATAAGACCCTTTGTTCGGTAGTATTAATTTGGTTTAAATTCTTCGAAATGCCTGGTGGTTATATGGTGCTTCTCCTGAGGGTTTCAGTGTTATTCTTGGGGGAGTACTCCGGTATATTACTATGTATGATTTCAGTAATTTGTACCGGTGTAGGCATTATTTTACTTCTTCCTCCACAATGAACCACCTCCTTTATTTAGTATGATTGCGATGAAACTGTTATATCATTATGAAAGTGTAGTAGAACTATAAAATCATATGAAGGTATAAACTGGCACCAAAACTACGAGTTCATGATAGGATTAGAAAATTTTCGAAACTCCGACCTTTTTTTTTGAGAGGAGATGGTGGAGGATTGGAATTTATCTAATTGTTATTGGATCAGTGCGAAAATTATGAAATCATGCAGGACTGTGACAGTGTGATTAAGTAATTAGTGCGCACAGCACAAATGTTGTGTGCGTTAGTCATACTATCTGTTATCGTACATTCAGTTGACAATCAATTTCAGGGGACTGAATGCTAGTGAATGGACGAGCTTTGGCCCAGTTATGCATCGATGAGTCATATGAAGCGAAACTATCCGGTACTCTCTTCCTGTTACAGGTTGGTTTTTTTTTATTATTAGGATGAGACTTGGTATCTCGCGTTGATGAAATGCTTGAATACTTTTTTAACTAGATGTTTCATATTGTTCAAAATTGACCGTTGACGCTCTTTTTTATTGTATAGTATAAAGCGGCAGATGTTGTAAATAGAATCCTTCAGTGCTGCATATGTGTTTTTATCTTTTTGTCTAAGACTTCGCAATTCAAATTAAAATCGAAATTGCGAAAATTTAGATTTTATAAATATTGCTGTGAAAATATTTTAATGCAGCACTAACAAAGAATTTGTTTATTAATTTGTCTGTAACGATTCACAAGACAGTAATTTAGAAATGCACCTACAACCGAATTTATGGTGTAATATTGATATGTAAATTACTGCTTAAGTAAGGAAATATTCAGCGAGAGGAATAAAATATCTAAGATCTTTGTTAATGCTGAATATTACCATATAGCCAACAGCCATTGTTTATATTTATAGAAGATTGATTATAGGATGGACGTTGGCGATCTTTGCACGGTATATTAAAAGCTAATTTACTATTTTTATTCAATCAACCAGAAGATGTAGGCATTGAAGCTCCATGTATAATTCTGATTTTGGAGGATTGCTATATGGAACTGTGTGATGATAATGTAACAAAGCGGTCGTATTCATTTGAAGTCATTTTAAAAACGTATGTGAACATCTTCGATTTTTAAAATTATCATAGATTTAATTTATGCGGTCCCAGAACTTAGCTTGCTCTTGTGCGTGAAACTTGTTACTACCTCAGAATTTACTTCTGAGTGCTTTAGAGGCTCATAAATACACTTCAAACTTTCTTCTCCTCTCTCTCTTCCAGACTTTTCACTATTCCACCGTTGGTAGCAGTTCATATTTGTAGTATATTTATTATGCAAAAATTCAGCTAAAATTTAAACAGGGAGAAAAAGGACTTTGATGAAAATTCTCCAATTTTCAGGACCGGAAGGAAGTTTACATTTGCTGCAGACAATTTCAAAGCCTTGGAGCAATGGATTTCGTCCTTGACAGTTGCTTCACTGGAATACATTACTATCACAAAGCAATCATTTTTGGAACAAATAAGTAACAGTGATAAAAAAACTTGATAGAGATTGGAAATTTTGAATCCACTTAATCCTTGATCGTTTTTACTGTTTATTGCAGATAGCAGTCCTTCAAATTATTGCAGTAATAAAGCAGTGAAAATCATTATGTACTTGATAACTAGATTGTCACTTATTTGTTCCAAAAATGAATCTGCTGTTAACATTGGGAAGCACCATTCTCTAATTTCTTACTCTTGCTTTTGTGTAGTTCTTTCAATAAATAAAGGTTTTTGAATTTTTTGTTCTAATATTATTATATAGCTTCTTTTATTCTTTCCAACTTTTGTATATTTGTATGGTTATTTACGGGTTTAAAAAATTTTCCTGTGTGGTAAAACAAAGAAGCGATGTAATGAAAAATAAATGTTTTTACAACTAGTGTGACTCGAAAATGTTATAGCTAATATCTGGTATAAATGGCTGATCCCTGTGAGTGAAGCTTTTTTCGGACAAAGTCAGCATCATTTTTGTTTTTACTTTTACTCTGTAAATTGCTGAAATTTAATTTTCTCGTTTGCTTTTCAATAAATCATTACACTTTGAAAGCAGAATTATATGATGTCTTTCTTCATAACTGCAGTTTTTATTTATATATACATTTGTTCATTGTTCGTGGGTAGAAAAAAAAAGATGGAAAATAGTTCTGAATGATGTACAATTAAAAAAAAAACTGAAATTAACTGAGGAATTGACAGACATCATGGGATCTTGGGAAGTTTAATTTCTAGAGTGATAGGCTTAGAACCAACTAGTATTTTCTGGATGTTTTCTGTGTTTCTTTACTGTAGTGGTTTAATCATTGGTTGTGATATGTACTATGGCAAAGTCAGTGTTTATGAACGAAATTTTTTGACGAAATTTCAGACGAGGGTGTGAACAGTATAGTGCGCTCTGGAAATTGAAACGGCAGAAGATGCCGGTGGGTATTTAGTTTTGTTTTTTTTTATTTGTGATTTAAGCTTACTAGTTTTTCAAGAATCTATTTGTTGGCATAAGTTGCTCTTGGGCGATGAGTTTTAAATTTTATGCTGAAAAGCAATCTTTTGGTTGCAAAAGTATTATTACATCATGGTATTCGTTTTAAGGCATATCATTCGAAGTTTACTGATGTTACAATGGTTGTTGGAAACTTGGCAATTCTTCCTATACGATCAAGTATCAAAGGACCAGCTCCACGGATTGGCAAGTTGCGAAAATAATATGCTTATATTTTCCTGTGAATAAGTAATGCAACCTTACTGCCGTATTTAGTTTATCAAGCATAAAGTCACTTCCAGCAAGTCAATAACATATCCCTCGTTGTTTTGTGGTGTAGTGATTTAGAACCTTAGAAAATTATCAATAATTTCAAAAAATTTTCTTGTTTAATCTCTGATTCTAGTACGAAGATGATAATGATCTTCTTCCTTCACAATAATGTTAAAATGCTGATGTTGAGCAATGCTTCAGAAAATTGTGTTGCATAAATAGGTTGAAGTTGGGAAACCTAACAGAAATATATGCAGATCATTTAAATCACTTCTCTCAGATGATGGTGAAGACATAATTGATGAAGCTCTTGCTTATTTCAAACCAAATATTTTCTTCCGCGAATTTGAAATTAAAGGTCCTGCTGACCGAACACTCATCTATCTAACATTATATATTTCGGAATGTCTAAGAAAGCTACAAAAGGTAAATTTCCAATATACAATAGTTTTCAAAGGTTTCGGTAACTAATTAAGCAGGGTTGTTGCTGCTTGTTATATAAGATAACTTTAGCTTATGCAGATTTCATTCATTTCTTTTTTTAATGGTATCTGCATTGATTAACACTACAAGAGTTTCTAGTGTCATGACACTGTAGTAAAATGCAAAATAAGGCATTTCATCGTTCTTAAATAGTTCCTCTAAATAAAGTTAATGTTTTTGTTTTGTTTTAGACTAAGGATTTTCAAATATCTCTGGCTTCTGTTTCTGGAGGATTTTCAAATATCTCTGGTGTCTGTTTCTCTTCCTGTTATAATATATTTTATTTAATAGCCTCCAAACATATATGTTTCAGAGCGCAAATAGGTCGCAAGCAGTCAAAGATTTGTCGGTTTTAGCACTCAGCCATCATCTTCCAATACCCGGGGAAGCAGCTTTTCCACTGAATAGTATGTATAAGGCTCCAGCAAACCGAAATGAAGAAGGTGGATGTGTCTTTAGTTGGTTCTAAAATTAAATTACTCTGAATAGATCATTTTTACTATCAATCGATGAATGTTCAGTGAATCGGCATGTTCCTCCAGAATCTGTTTTAATAAGAACCAAATATTAATTCCATGATTTGTAATTCTGGTTGTCTAAATTTTTTCCCTGTTTTCGTCTTTTTGATTTGGTAATTAATCTGATCTTTTAGATGTTATGCGTTCATATCTCCTTCAGTTGAGACAGGAATTAGGAACACGTCTGTTAGAACATGTTTTTGAGGCGAATAATGAAAGGCCAAACAAAGTAAGTTATCTTCTGTCAGGATCCATAAATTTTGCAGAAGACAGAAATAGTTATTAAAATTTCACAAACCCACTAATTTTTTATTCCTTGTATCTTAACATTATTTTGAGGGATGGATTGGTAAAAATCAATTAGGTGATTTTGAAATTATCGGAATTGACTTCCATGTTTGGAAATTCCGTGATTACCGGAAGAGCAAGACAATGAAAAAGGGTAGTTTTTTGAGCACCTGTAGATTTTACCCATGAAATACTGTTATAATATATTTCTAACCCTTGTTGCAGTGGTGGATGTGTTTTGCTCGAAGACGTTTTATGGATAAGGGCTTGGTCAGTCCCGGTATTGTTTTGTGAAAGAAAAAAAACCGGTATTGTTTTTGTGTTTCCTCAAAAAAGGTGATGTAATTTGTATTTTTTCTTTTTCACCCTCGCTGTTTACTTTTTCAAAACATTTAAGCATTTGGACTTTAATTTGTGTCAAGGTACTTTTGATGTAGTTGTAAATAATCAAAGTAGGAAATACATTGGTTGAGTTAGATCCAACTTTATCTAGTGGAAGCAATAATATATTCGTTTTGGTTAACCTTTCCCATTAAATCAACTTATTGTTCAAATGTTATTACAAAGAGATTGGCCTGTAAAACTGTAAAAGCAACTTGTTCAAGTGTTATTACAAAAAGATTAACCTGTAAAACTGTAAAAGTGGTCTATGTTTGTTTCTTTAAATGGTAAAAACCAGACGATGACTTGTTTTTGGATTTGGTTTCTGAAGTACACTTTTGGTCGTCAGCTTTCAGGATTATTCTCACATTATTGACTCATTTAGATCAATTTTGATGTTGGTTAGGTTTTTATCAATGACAAGTATGGGTAGTAATGATAATAAATATTTAGTTCTGAAGTATTAAATAAGATTGAAATGATTTCAGAACTCTAGCAATTTGATTAATAAGTCTTGTTAATTTTGATACATTGGTAATATTTATATTTGTTTTTTTTATTTATTTTTGTTAAGTCGAAAATAAATGGTTTTAATTTATTATTTCTCATTTTCGCACTTATAAAATAATGAAATCCTCTCTCCATACTGGAATCTCGTGTAAAGGTGAATGATCCTGCATACAAAATTCTTCAGAAATTTCTTTTTTTTTCGTTTTTTCAAGATAAGTTTGTTTCATCGAGATAAAATTTGTTGGAGAGAAAAAATGTAAATAAGTCTAGCGAATATTTCGCAGGAATTCATTTTGTCTCACTGCTTGTTCCTTAATATGCCCATTTTGCTTACTGTTTTATAAAGTAGAGCTAATTATTAAAATATCTAAACGCTTTTATTTCCCACTTCCCTTCATATCACTAATCTTTTATATTATGAAACAGGTTTGTTGCCTTTACTTTCATACCGTAGCAAAAATTATATATATAGATATATATACTTATATATTTATGTTTACGTTTACGCTTTTGTGTTTATATATCTATATACGCTTATTATAGTATATTTTAAGAAAATGAAACTGAATAGACGCAATATGACCGAATTATAATCACAAATCCTTGAGATCGTAGATTTAAAATGATTATAAAATCATGAAAACGTTGGAAATATTTCCGAAAAATTTTAAGCTTAAAATCTAAAATTTCATTCCAAAATTAGAGGTATAGAATTTGCAAATTTTTAAATAAAAGTTACGGTAATTCTTATTAGCATATGCTGTTTAAGATGATAATTTGTATATTTGTAAGATTAGAGGATAATAATAGGTGATTATATTTGGCGAACGTGTAGCATTTCGTGTAGCATGTAGCATTTCGAAACTTGTTTGTTCGATTTTGATGAAATCATAAAGTACAAATTATTAACATGATTGGTTCTTTATTAGGTTGTTTGAAATGTCGACTGATATAATTAATGATAGAATAAATTTATCATTCAGTGATAAGCATATATTATTAGTGATAACAAATAACATTAGTAATAATGATAGTAATAATAATTTACGAACTTTTCCTTAGATATCATTTCACTTCATTTAGAAATTTCACGATGCTATCACAAAATATAAAAGAATGCGAGCACGTTTTGATCAAAGACAAAAATTAAAGAATGAATATGAATTACTGATTAAATTCGATGAACATACATATGAATTGTTTGGATTATATCAGCAAACTATTGTCGGTGATATCAATGTACCAAGTACTACTTCATTTAGCTCGTTACTTCATTTGATTAACATGAAAATTATTTCATTAAAATTAAAACTATTTCATTTGATTAAAACAAAATAAGTGAAAAAGATTTTCCTGTATATATTTTGGTAATTGAAATGTATTTTATTGTTTTCATCATCTTATGCTTATTTGCATAAAAGGATAAACAAGATTTCATAAGTTAATTTGATCTATTGTTGATTACTAATTACTTCACTTTTATCAAAATCAGTGTTACTGTTTATACTTATGCAAGATTTGCCTCATTTGCATAATGTTATTAAATTTCATTTTTTCTCAAAACATTTATCAATTTGATGTTTGAGAAAAAAATTAAATCATTTGGAAATTTCAATCGAATTTCCTCAAATTTCAGTCTATTTATTTATTTTTATTTTTTGAAAATATTAGCAATTTTCCATGAAGTAATGTCGTTGACGTTATTACAGAAATGAATTATCGTGATCCAAATGAAATGTCATATATGTGGTCATGGATTAAAGGGAATCGTAAATGGCATGCATGGAATAAGTGCAAAGGTCAGATAACATAACTGATTGATGCATTTGAATTATTCTGTCGTATATTTCAATATACTGAAGTTGTTCTGTAATATATTTTAATTTGATTAAATTTCAATTTAAAAAATCCCGATGGAATTTTGAAGTTTTTTAAATTTTTAAATTTTGTAATATTTTTGAAAAGTTGCATTAATGGTATTTCCTTTTCACGTCATTCTCTTTTATTTTAATAAATTATCAGTCAAACTTTTTTTATTTTGTTTTATGCCTATCAAAAGATGATGCGATGTGTTTGTATGTGGAAAGAGTGAATGAACTGGAAAAAGCATTGGATGGACTTGTTGACGACTGGAAAGATGAATTGGATCCACGAGTTCCTGATAAAGATGCATGGATACCGGAAGAAGAAGCGGAGGAATTTCGGAAAATCATGGAACAAGCAAAACGTGAAAGAAGGCATAACATTTACAGAATATTCAACAAAGAGAAATCAATTCATTGCTAATTATCAGTCAATTTATTATTGATTATTAATTTGTTAAAAAAATGAAAAAAAGAGTTAGCTCAATATATTATTGAATTATTATGGACTGTTAATTGATTAAAATACTAGAAGATATGAAATTATGGGATATTAACGCTAAAAAGTCAGTAGTTCAATTCAATTTTTGAGGTACCAATTAATGAATTGATAATTAGCAAAAAATATACATTGAATTTTGCAATTATCATTAATGTATTCTTATGTTTGCAGAGAACGAGATGCTTTGCAACGACAGAAAGAAATTGAAGATGGAATGTGGGATGAATAAAAGAAATATTTTAATTCAAATGGATCAGAAAAGTTTTGCATAATGCCAAAAGCACAAAAAAAATTCTTTTTTCTTTTTTTGTCTCATTTTAAAAATTTCTAGTATAAATGGCTTTAAACGACATTATTCCTGCATTTGAAAGCACTTGATCAATTTCAATTTTGTCACATTGATATTTATCAACGGTAATTTTAAATTTATTCCTTGCCAAGGAAGTTTTCAGCTGTTTTTGTAGAAAAAAAACATGAAAAATGAATTAAAAAATTATATACAAAAAAAAGTGAAAGAGATTTAAAATTTTTCATTTTTTCATTATGAATTATATATGCAATGGGCCGCGCAATAATTAAATGAAAATGTAATTTTCAAAAAATAAAAATACTTTTAAATGAGAATCAACTTTTGATATAAATACTACCATTAAACTGTTGCAAATTACAAAAGAGATTGTATTTATCAATGAATTGACATGATAAGGGATGTCATACAAACAGATAAGATTAGGATTATGTGATAAAAATTGTTAGAAGTGAAGGAAATTCAAATCTTATCAGATGAGGCTGAATGTTTGATTGATTAAGAAGAGATCATATCAGCAGCAACTACTTATTTTCATGCAGGTTTTGCTCATTTCGGAATGTCAGTAATTTTCCAATTTATTTCTTTATGATATCATCTTGAAGTCCTACTTTATCTAGATCATCAGTATTTTTCAATCCAAAAACATATTATTCAAATTTTATTTATAATAGCATAAATTAAAAATAGTTGAATAATTTTCATTCTAAACACTATTATCATGAAATTGATCAACAAAACTAGACGATGTCGAACAACCACCGCGATGTCGATTTGTTTTCCTATTACTGGATGATTTAGTGTTATCACTTCGGAATGATTGTTCGTCATCTATAACGATAAATTTCATTTTTTTTTTTGAACTAAATATTTTTAATATAACTTTTAGTAATGATCTTTTCAGTAAGAAAAGAATAATAAATAAATACATTTCCTTTTATTTCTTTCCTACAATTCTCCAAAATATCGTTACAAAAGAATTTCGATTGAAAAAAAAGGTAATAAAATCAAAGATTATACCTTTATGTTCTTTCAAATAAATACGAAAGGTAAAACAATTAATAACAATAATCAAGAAAATAATAATACTAATTCCAACGATCAAACCAATGGTTACATTATCAATTCGTTGAAAATTATTCTCATATTCAATTTCATCAAGTGTTGATAATGTCGCGCTGAAATAAAATGTAAATGGAAAATGAAAAAATTAAGCAAAAGAAAATTTTTTGACAAATTGTTCAAAAAGATTAAATTTTATAGTAATAAATAATGTTATCAGCTTATGTTTTTTTGATCTTTTTATGCTTCATTTTTATAAAAAATTTTCAATATCTTGGTTTTTAAAAAAAAAGAAAAAAAACAAAGAAGCCATTTTAGATATTTAAACTTCTAATTTGAAATTACCATTAAAAATGAAAAAGATGAAAAAATAGAAGAAATAATCTCCCTCTTTTTGAAATTAGAATCAATAAAATATCTCTCATAAAAAAGAAAAGAAGAGAGAGAGAGAGAGAGAGAATAAAACGAAGGAGACATTGAAAATGTTTTAAAGAAATGATTGAAGTTGCTGTTGATGATAAATATCATATTAAAAATGTTCACCATTTTTTACATTTTAATATACTCTATCTTATTATTCCAATTACTATAAATCATCCAATCAATTTGATTACTTCAAATTTATCCATAAATTGAAATGTTTATTTTTGAATACTAAGAAATCTTATGATATTATTCAATTTTACTCTCAATTAATTCATATTGCTCAATGCTATTTTTTAAAAGAAATCAAACTTATTTATATTGTATGCTTCATTTGTTCCACTGCTCTGTGATTTGCATATTACAAAACTATCAATTATTTAAAATAATTTTAATCCCAATTATAATATTAACATACAAAATAATTTACCATAAACTTATCAGTTCTTTATTTTGGAAATTTCCTTTTGAAATAAAAGTTAAAACTAGTATTAATTTAAATTATTCAATTTATCCATTAAATTTATGCAATGCATCTTTAAAATATAATTGGTAACCGTACAATGTATTATATAAACAAACTTTCTAATCTGTTTACATAATACAATCGAAATACCGGAATATTAAATTACTTGATAAAGTTTTTGATGAGTTTGTTACGCTTATTACGCTTACTACGCTTATTTGGTTTACTATGCTTGTTAGGCTTGCTATGCTTGTTACGTTTATCATGCTTATTACGTTTGTTTTATATAGTTATAGTTAATTTATAATTGAGCTGAAAAAACAGAAGCACTTAATAATATCACATTTACTACGCTTGTGAGTGATATTTGTTAAACGATTATACTGTAATTAAAGCATTAATGAGATATAAATGTTTGCAAATTTTCAAAATGAAATAATTTTGCACACTAAATTTAAAAAAAAAATAGAATTTTACTCTTTCTGTAATGAAAAATTTTCCTTATTCAATTTTTGGTCGCTACTGCTAGTTGTTGTTGTTAATTCATCGGGCGTTTTTGTCTCCATTTCTGGCGTTATTGTTTCCATTCGAAATGTCACACTAACGATAGTGTTTTTAATCATAATTATAATTGAATTGATTTTCATACCATTCAACATACTTGTGTGTGTTTGGAATAAAATGTTTTCAAAAAAAAGAAAAATTCTTAAAACTTGGAAAAAATTAATTATTAGAACAAATTTTTAAAAGTTTTAAAACTGGTTTACTTGTGAAGTAAATCAATTTTATCAGTTTGAAAATATCAAAAAAAAAAGAAACAACGTATTCAGAAATATAAATATCGTAATTTTTACATAATTCATGTAACGCTATCAATTGAATTAAAAATATTTTAATATGCTTTATCACATATCAATTGGCATTGTTAATAGTAGTAATTGATTAGTAAACTTGTTATTCAAATATTTCAAATTCAAACTAATCAATTAACTGTTAAACTGTTAAAATGGAATACTTGTTCAATTTTAATCCTTGGAAATCATTCACTTTACGTGATACTACGTTTTTTTCTGCATCATTTAAATCAACTTTCAAATTACTGGTATTTAATTTTTCCTGTAATATTTTAGTATTACTCGTAAAATATGCTATAATTTTTATTAATTTTTTAATTAATTCTACATGAACCCGTTTAATATATTAAATGTAATCACTCATCATTACAATCATTGATCATTCCTTTATATCTCATTTTCATTTTCCGCATTTACATTTAACAAATCATTTCCGAAATTCTGTATGTGTTTGCAGAAATTCTTCAAATCTTTCATTGAATTCCTACCACCCTTTTATTTTATATATATATATATTTTTTTGTTTTTCATTTATTGCTTGATTACAGATGTTGGCACACACTAAAAGCAATCTTCCATTTGCTATATTTAATTAAGCTTAAATTAAATGCTAAATGCCATGAAGAGCATGAAATCAGAAAAGAAATCTTTTGAAAACGTTTTTGAAAAGAACTTTTAAATTCAAAAAAGTTACAACTTTTTTTCATTCTTTTATCTGCTTATAGAAAGATAATATAAGCTTGATGACATTGTAAGATGAATAAATGTTCAATTGTAATTACTCATCGATTTACTTAAATTTAAAACAGCAGTTAAGTAATGGAATTGATAATACAAAAAAAAGACAAAAAAATGACATACGGGAAAAACTTCTGGTGAATTTTTTGCTTGGTCATATGATTTCAGCAATTTCGCCATTTCTTTACTTTCATTTATTGCATTTTTTGGTGCAGAAGTGTCTCCTATGATGACATTTGACCTTTTCTAAAAAAATTTAATCTTTTTCACTTTGCAAAATCAATAATTTTTTTTAATTTCTGCAAAAAAGAAATATCATCTTATTTGAAAGAAATTATTGTTCTATTCAGTAAATAAAAATTGTAATCAATAATAGATGTTAGCCATATATTGGAAAGTACAATAAATGATAATTCTTGATGATAATAATTACAGTAAAAGGTAGCAGAGGTAATGAATATTATTGTTTATTATTATTATTATTATTATTATTATTATTATTATTATTATTATTATTATTATTATTATTATTATTATTATTACTATTATTATTATTATTATTATTGTTATTATTATTATTATTATTATTATTATTATTTCATTATTGTTATTATT